TATAAGATTGAGTTCTGCACGTTTTTTATTATTATCCAGTTTTTGACGAACCAGATCGACGGGACGCACATCGTTGCGCTGAGTGCAAACTTGAAAAGTCTAGCTCATATGCAGCAGCATCCTCAGCTAGGAGCTTGCAGCTATTTATAAGCCTTTAGTAGACTTATTTCACTTCCGGCTTTGTTATTGCAATGTCTCGGATAAAGGTCATACGCAGCTGTGCAAACGATTTGCCAATAGTTGCATAAAAATTATATCGAATTATACCTGGACACTTGGGGGTAACAAAATACACAGCGCAGCCGTGACACTTTTATAAGGTGTTAAGAATAGGATTCGGAGGCCGTCGTGCAGTCCGCTTCATCATAAGAAGTGCTAATCTATAAAGTCTTGAAAGCGCTGTCTCATGAGGTCCACGGGACGGCTTCAGGCTCTCCCATAGTCGAGTATTAAGTACTCGAAATCGTTAACCACTTTATTCTAAACACATTGCAGTCTCGGGACGGCTTTCAGCTCTCCCATAGAAGAGTACTAAGTGCTCTGAATCGTTAACAACTTTTTCTAAACACAGAATGCAGTAGTATTGTGGCTGAACGTTGCTTGACAGCCTGATATTGGCTGGTTTGAGGCCAACGGGACGGCGCTATGCTCTCCCATAGTAAAGTATCTCGTACTCTCAATTGTTATTACCTTTTCCAAACACACAGCGGGAGGGCTATATGCTGTCCCTTAGTAGAGTACTAAGTGATCTCAATCGTTATGACTTTCTCAACACATAGCGGGACGGCTGAACGCTCTCCCAGAGTTGAGTAGGAATCGTTAAACGCAAAGCGGAACGGTAGCCTCGTGAGGTCCTCGAGACGGCTTTATGCGCTTCCATAGTAGAATACCTATAGTACTTTAAATCATTGATCGCTTTTTCTAAACATACGTTATATACCTAGTACTCAAAATCGTCAAAAGGCCACTCACTAGGCTTGACAATTTTGAGCTGGCAAGCGCAATGTGAACATGGGGCGTTCGTGATCACGTATGCCAAAATTTGCAACGCTACGCGTCGCATAAATGGGTCGAATTTGAAGAACGCTGTTCTCCCTTCCTTTCGCGGGCGTGAGCCCCGAGAATGAGGGCATGACACACACGTGACATTGTTCCTATACGTCATAGAGTTTCCTCTATGCTCGACGTAGACATCTCTGATGTTGCCAACAGCAGCACGTGACACGGCGAAAATTATGTAACACGACTTGTGTAGTTTATGTAATTTATTACTTGAATAGACGCATAATACTTGAGATAAATGATGAGACGCATTAGGAGAAAGTGTGCGTCTTTTCCATTCTCCCGTGACTTTTTTCTCGAATTCCAACGAGATGCGAGGCTAAGTGCCTGCGTTGCGCATGCGTTCGTGTCCCCGTGGTTAGCGGGTCAAGCAGGCGCCTAGTTCTGAAAAGAAATAATTGTCGTGCGCGTTCGGGCGCTCATTATGCTCATCCACTCTATGGAGCCTACATTAACGGTCGTTTTTAGGGTGGAGACATCTTAAAAAGTGCTTTCATGAAACTCAGCCAAAACCAGCGGGCAACGGGGCACGCTGTTGCTAGCTTCCACCAAATTCAGCATAGTTTTCTGTGCGCTGCCATTTTGGAGCCAGCCGCCCTTGTAACAACACACAACACCTGGGCTTTTGACAGCGGTGGTTCTCAGGGTCGTGTGAGCGACCCAGTTCTCAAAGTGAGCGCACGAAGAAATTCGCAGCCCACACACAAACACTTGCGACATAATACTGAGGTTACGCTCACACGAACGCAAGCGTGGCAACAGCTCAGACTAGCGAGCGCGTCTCCGTACGAACGCGCGGACGCGTCCCGTTTGTGGGCTTCCTACTCGCAATGCGTGGACGCAGCAACGACAACTTCGGTTATCTACTCATTCGCGAACACCGCGAAACACATATACGTGTGCCGCAGGAAAAAAAATTGCTTGCAGCTTCCCTCGGGGGAACACTGAGGAGGATGCGGAGCATATAATTGGTTAACGGGGTGTTAAAGTGCGACTTACTTGGGTCGATGGCTAAATTGGTTAACGTGGTTGTGAAATGGGGTGTTAAATTGCGACTTACTTGGGTCGATGGCTAAATTGGTGAACGTGGTTGTAGGAGGGGTGTTAAATGAGTGAACACGTACGACACGTATGCGAAAGGGCGGTGTTTATTGCGACGAACTTTGAGCACGATGGCTTTTTGGTCGGTAAAGTGAAGAGTGAGTGGATCGGGTTGCAGCGGTCGTAGGTCGAAATTTGCAAAGACGTGGTCGATGCAGGTTCCGCGAATGGTGGTCGGCTGGTGGTGTTTGCAGTCGTCGTGCGTTGCGCGTTTCAGCGAGTGTCGCGACGCCATGTATTCTCTTGCCGACGCTTACGTTTCAAAGCGGCCGAATCCGGTGCTGCTGCTCGACGCTGACGTCTCTTAGCGGCTTCACGTTCTCTAAGTTGAGCATCTTCCGCTCGACGCTGACGTTTACGTTCGGCGTCGCGAGCTGTTCTCCGCGCTGCCTTGTCTTCGGACGACGACTTGGTTGCGGTTCCGCCAACACTTTGGCCGGCGCTGGTCGAAGGGACGTCGATCATTGCGACCTCGGACGTCGACGCGCCGTACAAACCAACCGACGAGCGGCAACTGAGCGAGCGAGCACCGACCTTGAGTATATATACAGCGCGACGGCGCATGCACTGTCAGCTGTCGAATGTTCGAGAAGGGGGAGAAGCGCAACGGCGCATGCGCGCGCGTCAGCTGCCGATGTTCTCGAAGCGTGACGGCGCATGTGCGCTACATTATACAGCTAGCGAATGTTCGTGAAGAGGAGAAGCGCACGCGGTGTGTAGAGAAGGAAGGGTGCACAGATGGTGGAGGAGTGAAGCGCGCGTGGTGTGTAGAGGAGGAAGGGATGCACAGATGGTGGAAGAAGGAGGAGGAAGCTTGCGGACGGCGCCGCACTACAAGCCTCGAGTATTAGATGCTCCGCATCTAAAACAGCGAACGAATTACGCAGTACTCACAGAGCAAATACGAGACGCACTGGTGGGCTACCAGCCGTCTCGCTTCACTTGAGCCAGCCATAGTTGTCGTCGGCCAGGGCTCGCTGGGAAGCGGAACATTCGCCCCCTTTTCTGTTGTGGTTAGTGCAGAGCGGTACGCAGCACCCATGCATTCTAAGGCTTCACCAGCAGCGTTTAACACTCTACCGCAACGTTCGACGCCGTATTGATGAGAACTAAACGCAACCGGTCGTACACGCAGTGCGGGCACCAAAATGGGGCGACAGCGCAGCGTTGCTGTCTGGCAACATTGTGTTTTGGCGGGCGGCGGTGCGTTGGCGGCATGTAGTGGGTCAAAGGCTGACATCACCCTAAACACGGCCGTTCATGTAGGCTCGCTAATCCACTCAACCGCGCCTAAGCCATCGTTTCCGAACCATCCTGCAGAAACAGGCTGTAAATCCCGAGATGACGCTAGTCAACAACGCCGCTCGCGTGCTCGGGGGTCGGGCTAGTTAGGGCACGTCTTGCACTAGTAACCTCTTGGTCGGATGACGGAGAGGGTAGGGAAGAGATTTGGCTTGCGAAGTCTACGTGAGGCGAGCGGCAATGGTATCGAGCTCGCCTCCTCGCATCTTCCTTTCGCTCTGATTGAAAAAAAAAGCAGTTCTCTAAGTTTGTAATGAACCGATTGAAAACCTCTTTGTGGCATGATGCTCTTCGTTGGACACACAATAACTTACACGGTCTAATAATAATTTGTTATGGGGTGAGTGTGTTTACAAAAAGTCGTTAACGATTTAGAGTACTTAGTACTCTACTATGGGAGAGCTGAGAGCCGTCCCGTGTTAAATCCGATGAAGCGGCGGTAGTTCACGATAACAAGAAAAGCACGAATGGGGTGAGTGGCCCTTTACCCACTTTTTCTAAATGGCTCGAACAGCAGTTGGTAAAAGCATACTGTGCCTTCTGTAATGCGGAACCACTCGTCGTGAACTCGTTCACGGCGTCATTTTTGTCAACAGGGCCTCATCAAGTGTCAGGCACGCGGGACGGTATTATGCTCTCCCAAAGTAAAGTACCAAGTACACAAAATCGTTAACCACTGGCTTTTTCTAAACAAACTTTGCCATAGTAGACTACCAAGTACTTTAAATCGTTATAACGTTTTTTAACTCAGTTCTGTTGCAATGATATTGATGTCCACTATCTATATGCCAACTCGCCCAACTAACAGTTTTACTGATCGCATCTACCTAGCCATTATGCCTCTACTTTCATACATCCGAAAACACACACACACACACACACACACACACACACACACACACACGCGCGCGCGCGCGCACACGCACACGCACACACACACACACACACACACACACACACACACACTTCAACAGTTCATTTGTGGCGCATTGTGCCCGCGTTGTGCTTTGTCATGGGCCAAGAATATGCCGCAGTTCTAATCTCGCATCCCGCTCTTGGCTGTGTATCACTTGCAATCACACGGAGCATGTTGCAGGCCTTCGGGGACGTCACACTGTGAATGCATATTTATTGGCGATTCAGTCTGATCTTGCTCATGAAGTACTTCGACGTTTAGTCCGATATGGTGCAGCGTGTCGGCATGTTTGTTGTTGCCTAGCTGGACCTTCTGTTGATCTGTTAGTGAACTTCTGGCTTATCTGTGGCCGATTGTTCCCACAAGCTCCATATCGAGCCTCTACTGCCGTGACGCACTTTTCATAGGTCTGGTGAATGTGTTGTTTCGAATAAAATTAACGGAAATAATGCTCTCAAAGTATTACCAATAAGCATCTAGACAGATGAAATGTTTCTCTTTATACGAAAGGACCGGTGAATATAGGACGGTTGCATGCTGTGTCGGGGTGGGGGTTGCATGGCGGTGGTCCTCGTTAAGCTGACGGCATCAGGTCTGGTTTTCCAATCGGCGGGCCAAGTGGCGGCGCGAGGAGAAGCTGCGCAGCCAGCGTCGTGCCGCGGAGTCCAGCGCCGCCGTCGGTGGGGGACCCGTGCACGGAAGACTCGCCGGTCCGCTGGCGGGGTACCCTGGACTCAGCCAGCCCATGGCTGCAGCCATGCAGGACTCCTACAGGTAAGCCACTGTATACTAGTCCCGACACATTGTGGAATCTGAACGCATATGATCAGAAATACTGATCGCGAGGCCTAATGTCTCACTTTGGCATGCATGCGCAGCTTTCCAGGTTTACGCCCACGCCCTGCACACGCGGTGCTTAGAAACGCATAGACAGCCAAAGATATAAAAGACGCAAGCGTTCTGAGCAATTCAGAGTTCGGCCGCTATTTTGGGTTGAAGCGGAACCGAACCGAAACTTTTCATTATATACTGGAGCCAGCTTGACCGAATTCATGCATGTTTAGACCACTTAGACATTTATTCACCGTTGAACTTGCGAAATGTAAAGGAATGAAGACGGCCCATAGTAGTATATTTACTTCACAATATTGTTACGGGGAATAAAGTATATACTGGCGAGCTAATGCGTACAACGCTGCTGCAGTCCGAGCACGGTCACGTTCAGCACTTCGTCGTCGTCATCCTCAGGCATCTACTTAGCCCGTGACATTACCCGCCGGCGGCAGAAGCACCGTCCCGGTGCGATCAATTCTCGAGGCGTGAGTAGTATGGTTTAAGCCGTGAGACGTGCACTATATTGGTCGGGACTGAAGCTGGTACTGACGTAGTATGGAGTGGAGCTATCTCATAGGTCACGCTGGTGACCTTGCGTATGACGCGGTAGGGGCCAACGTAACGGGACATTAGTTTTTCGCAGAGACCAACACGACGTGATGGTAACCACAGCAAGACGAGTGACCCCGGAGAGTACTGTACGGCGCGGTGCTGGCGATCGTAAGCACTTTTTTGGTTAAGCTGCGAGGCACATAAACGATCCCGGGCAACTTGGCGGGCGATGTCAGCTCGGGCCAGGGCATCACGAGCATAAGCAGTAAATGAGGGGGCGTCGGATTGGAGCATGATGTCCATTGGCAAAGGCGGGTCATAACCAAACAGAAGGTAAAAATGTGAAAATCCAGCTGTATCATGACGTGAACTGTTGTATGCGAAGGTAACGAAAGGTAAGTGGGTGTCCCAATCTTTGTGATCCTTGGAGACGTACATCGCTAACATATTCGTCAGGGTACGGTTGAGGTGTTCCGTGAGGCCGTTGGTTTGCGGATGGTACGCTGTAGTGAACTTGTGGTGGGTAGAGCAGGATCGCAGGAGCTCGTAGACTACTTTAGATAGAAAACAGCTGCCGCGGTCGGTGATCAACTGACGAGGAGCACCATGACGCAGAATGATGTCATGAAGAAGGAAGTCGGCTACATCAGTAGCGCAGCTGGTGGGGAGGGCGCGTGTAATGGCATACCGCGTTGCGTAGTCGGTAGCAATAGCAATCCACTTATTAGCGGTGGCCGACACGGGAAAAGGTCCTAGAAGATCGAGGCCGACTCGGAAAAATGGCTCATCTGGTACATCAATGGGCTGGAGGGTACCAGCAGGTCTCAGAGCAGGTGTCTTGCGGCGCTGGCAGAGGTCGCATGCCGCAACGTACTGTCGCACAAAACGGTAGAGGCCAGGCCAAAAGAAACGGCGGCGAATGTGGTCATGCGTGCGTGACACCCCTAGGTGTCCAGCGGAGGGGGCATCATGCAGCTGGGCCAAAACGTCTGAGCGAAGATGCGCAGGAACAACGAGTAAAAGCTCAGCACCATCAGGGCGGGCGTTGTAGCGGTGCAAGATGTCGTTGTGAAGAACGAACAGTTGTAAGAAGTGGTCAGGGTGGGGAGAGTGCAGACCATTGATAATAGCACGTAAAGAGGGGTCGCAGCGTTGTTCAGCAGATATGTCGGTGAAGTCGGTAATTGAAAGAACGAGGGCATCTTGCTCATCTTCCCTCGTGTCAGGGGGATCAACTGGGTAACGGGACAAGCAGTCGGCATCCTTGTGAAGTTGTCCGGATTTATAGGATGCGGAAAAAGTGTACTCTTGTAAGCGCAGCGCCCAGCGACCAAGGCGTCCCGTAGGGTCCTTGAGTGAGGAGAGCCAGCAAAGCGCATGGTCATTATCATCATCATCAGCCTGACTACGTCCACTGCAGGACAAAGGCCTCTCCCATGTTCCGCCAGTTAACCCGGTCCTGTGCTTGCTGCTGCCAATTTATACCCACAAACTTCTTAATCACATCTGCCCACCTAACCTTCTGTCTCCCCCTAACCCGCTTCCCTTTTCTGGGAATCCAGTTAGTTACCCTTAACGACCAGCGGTTATCCTGTCTACGCGCTACATGCCCAGCCCTTGTCCATTTTCTCTTCTTTATTTCAACTATGATATCCTTAACCCCCGTTTGTCCCCTAATCCACTCTGCTCTCTTCTTGTCTCTTAAGGTTACACCTACCATTTTTTTTTCCATTGCTCGCTGCGTCGTTCTCAATTTAAGCTGAACCCTCTTTGTAAGTCTCCAGGTTTCTGCTCCGTAGCTAAGTACTGGCAAGATACAGCTGTTTTATACCTTCCTCTTGAGGGATAGTGGCAATCTACCTGTCATAATTTGAGAGTGCTTGCCGAATGTGCTCCACCCCATTCTTATTCTTCTAGTTACTTCAATCTCGTGGTTAGGCTCTGCGGTTATTACCTGCCCTAAGTAGACATAGTCCTTTACAACTTCAAGTGCACTATTACCTATCTCGAAGCGCTGCTCCTTTCTGAGGTTGTTGTACATTACTTTCGTTTTCTGCAGATTAATTTTAAGACCCACCTTTCTGCTCTCCTTGTCTAACTCCGTAATCATGAGTTGCAATTCGTCCCCTGAGTTACTCAGCAATGCAATGTCATCGGTGAAGCGCAAGTTACTAAGTATTCTCCATTAACTCTTATCCCTAACTGTTCCCATAGGCTTCTGAAAACCTCCTGTAAGCACGCGGTAAATAGCATTGGGAAGATTGTGTCCCCCTGCCTTACACCCTTCTTGATTGGTATTCAAGAAGGCTGTAAGGCAGGGGGACACAATCTCCCCAATGCTATTTACCATGCGCATGGTGGTCCGTAATAACTGAGAATGGTCGGCCATACAGGTACGGTTGGAATTTCGCAATGGCCCAGACCAGAGCTAAGCATTCGCGTTCTGTGATGGAATAATTTTGTTCCGAGCGCGACAACAGTCGCCTTGCATACACGACGACGCGGTGCATGCCTTGTTGCCGCTGCGCCAGCACTGCGCCTATGCCGTGGCCACTGGCGTCAGTACGAAGCTCCGTGGTGGCAGATGGATCGAAGTGTGCTAGGACTGGTGGATTGGTGAGATTGTCAACGAGCGACGAGAAGGCGTTTGCTTGCTGTTGGCTCCAGGTGAATGCGACATCCGTTTTGAGGAGGCAGGTTAGAGGACGGGCTACTTCAGTAAAACTTCTCGACAAAACGACGGAAATAGGAGCACAGTCCCAGAAAACTTCGGACGTCCTTGGCTGAGCGGGGTGTGGTGAAGTCGCGAACTGCTCGGACTTTCGCAGAGTCTGGTTGAACGCCCGCAGCGTTAACAAGATGGCCGAGTACGCAGATTTGGCGTTGCCCAAAGCGGCATTTGGACGAGTTAAGTTGCAAGTTGGCACGTCGAAAAACATCAAGCACTGTGGACAGACGGGTAAGATGGTCGTCGAAAGTAGTCGAAAAAACAATAACGTCGTCAAGATGGTCCACTTCATGCCTCGAAGGAGAGAGTCCATCATGCGCTCAAATGTCGCGGGGGCATTGAATAATCCAAAAGGCATCATCTTGAACTGATGAAGTCCATCAGGAGTCACGAAGGCCGTCTTCTCTCTGTCTTTGTCGTCCACAGCGATCTGCCAGTAGCCTGAGCGAAGGTCTATTGAAGAGAAATATTTGGCACCGTGCAAGCAATCGAGTGCATCATCTATGCGCGGTAGGGGATAGACATCTTCTTGGCAATATGGTTGAGATGGCGGTAATCAACACAGAATCTCCAGCTATTGTCCTTCTTTTTAACAAGTACAACGGGTGAGGACCAGGGACTAGATGAGGGTTCGTTTACGCCCATATCAAGCATTTTATCGACTTCTCGCTGTATAATAGCACGCTCCGGGGCTGACACACGGTAGGGTCGTCGGCGAATGGGTCGAGCGTCACCGGTGTCGATGCGATGGGTTACCACGGATGTCTGGCCCAAATTACGGTCGCCGAAGTCAAAGATGTCCTGATAAGAAGCAAGCACACGGCAGAAAGCAGAGACTTGTTCAGAGGTGAGCTTTTCAGATAGCATTGGCTTGAAAAGGTCGGAACAGGAACGTGACGAGAACGACGTTGATGAAAAATCGGGTGGCGAATCGGTGGTTAGGGCGGAAACTGTGTGGTCGACCAGTGGTGTCAGATGCGCAAGTGACATGCCGCGAGGAATCACTTGCGCTGAGAAGCTGAAATTGAGGACCGGAAATGAAGTTCGGTTGTCCTTAACGGTTACCACCGTGTTGGGGAGTGCAACATTGCGTGTCATGGCCACGTCAGAAATTGGGGCAGCAACATAATCACCATCGGGTACTGGAGGATATGGCGAGAGTTGGACTTGGACTGCGGCTTGCGGCGGAAGTCTGAGGAAATCGACAGAGCGTAGACGAGGTGGGCTGGTAGAGACGGTCTCCGAGAAGGATGGTAGTTCGAGCCGAAAAAGACCTTTGGAACAGTCAATGAGCGCAGCGTGTGAAGTCAGAAAGTCGAGTCCAAGGATGAGGTCATGAGGGCAATGTTCCAGTACAGCGAACAGAACTGAAGTTTGATGCTCAGAAATTGTTAATCGCGCAGTGCACATTCCAAGCACAGCAGGAGTACTGCCATCTGCTGTACGAACGGTAGGTGCAATCGCAGGCGTCAGAACTTTTTGGAGGCGGCGGCGGAGGTCTGAGCTCATCACAGATATTTGTGCACCGGTATCAATAAGAGCAGTTACAGTTACAGCAGTTACTCCCACTGGTCGGGAGTAATCAGAGGATTTGCAGTCTGAGTCGTGTATGCAGCGTCACCTCCGGGGGCTGCACCGGCTAGTTTTCCGAGCGACGGTCGTAGGGATACTGAGAACGGCGGGGTCGGGGCGAGCAGGACTGACGACACACGGGCGATGGCGAGCGGCTGGTCCGACGTTCTGGATTAGGCTCTGCACCGTCTCAGCACGGTAGGACGGGGCATAAGGTGCACGTTCAGAGCGAGGCCGCCAATATAAAAGCTCGGTTGAGGTGATGAGGTCCAATGGCTGCGGCAATGGCGAGCGATGTGTCCTATCCGATGGCACGTGAAACATATGAGCCGATCATCATGAGTGCGCCATTCAGCTGGGTTTCATCGTGGCGCGCACGTGCGGTTCGGAGTGGCAGCCGCAATGACTGGAGCCGAGCTGGAAGTACCAGGGGCATTTTGATGAGGTGGCAAATGCCTATATTCGCGATCTTTTGGCGAACCACGGCCAGTATTATTGAAACAGCATCGAGGTTGTGTCCTGGCGCGCTGACGCTAGACATAGCGGGAGCCATAGCCTCGAGTTCCCGACGGACTATTCTGGTGACGTTTTCTGGCGCTGGTGGTTGGTGTAGTGTGGGAAAATCTTTGCAAGAGGACGTAGCCGCCGTGTTGAGAAGGCGGTCCAATCGGTGAACTATGCGCCTACTTTTTGCCTGTTCGAAGCGACGACATGCTTCGATGACCGACTCCATCGTCGAGCAGTCCTTGCACAGGAGAAAATTGAAGGCGTCATCCGCAATTCCTTTCAGGATGTGTCCGACTTTGTCCTCGTCGAGCATGTCCTTGTCGACCTTGCGGCACAAAGCCAACACGTCCTGGATGTACGCGATGTACGGCTCTGTGGATGTCTCGGCACGAGTCGCAAGCTCTTTCTTTGCGGCCACTTGACGTCCGATAGGTTTCCCAAACAGATAGCGCAATTTCTGCTTACAGACGTCCCAGCTAGTCAACTCTTCTTGATGTGTCTCGTACCAGAGTTTTGCTGTGCCATGCAAGTAAAAGATGATGTTCGCCAACATGAGCGTCGGATCCCAATGGTTGCTGCTGCTGACACGCTCATATAGAACCAGCTAGTCATCGACGTCTATGCCACTTGTGCCGTTGAATGGGTCTGGGTCACGAGGTTGCACCACAACGATCGGCTGCGGGGCTGATGGATCTTGTTGACATTGAGTAGCCTGGTCAGTCATCGTGGTAGCTGCAATGCGCCGTCCGCTGCGAAGATCCAGCTCGTTGGGCTGTATAGCGAGTGGTACCCCGCACCTTCAACCAATGATGTTACGGGGAATAAAGTATACACTGGCGAGCAAATGCGTACTGGCGAATATACTGGCGAGCTAATGCGTACAACGCTGCTGCAGTCCGAGCGCGTTCACTTTCAGCACTTCATCGTCGTCATCCTCAGGCATCTACTTAGCCCGTGACAATATCAACAATTTATGTTCCTCTCTGCGAACTGGGCGTTCCGAAAACACAAGGCAGGAAATTGCTTTTTCTCTGCCTATAATCAGAGAATAACTGGTCTATAAGCGCACCTAAACGGCTTGGAGAGTAGTTTTTGTGTTCACCCTGGAGCTAAGTTTCAACCGAACGGAAATTAAAAGGCGTGGAGGGAGTGAGCGAATCAATTTGCCGTTCCATGATTCTGTTCTTGGCAAGAATGGGGCACTCTATAGGCTGGCTTGTGTAACGCGATGTTGCATTATTCTGTTTTGTTACATAGCGAAACTGTCTCCGTATAGAGTATCTTTAGGGACGGCCACCATGCATGACAAACCCATAAAACGCAACCAATAAGGACTGTATTAACCATAGACAATATGGTGTCTATCGCCAATCCTTTGCAATCACGCAGCCCGATGGCCGCCGGTATGGGATCGGGACCATGCCTGCAGCAACAACACAGGGATGCGGCCTCATATTCGTACATGCTGCACGACACCCTCGGCTTAGGCGCCTACTCCAGGGCCTCGGCCAACCCGGCTGGCCAGGGTGGCATCGCGGGAGGGCATCCCGCCGCGTACGCAGTCAGCGGGGCCAGCCCTCATGGCGCCGCAGGTAGGTCCTGTGAATTTCTGCTTTTCTTTAGTACAGCCCACCACGTGTCACGAAATTGCGTTGAGGCGACATCGATGAGTGCAATATATGTTTTAACACGTCTTCGCCAGGAGGAGAAGAAAACGCTTTATTAACGCCATGAAATGGGCCAGGTCTGGAAGGGGCCAGGGAAGAGGGAGATGTGCCCTCAGGTCGCTTTAGGTGGCCAGAAGTGCATGTATGTCGGCGACCCTATGCTGCACAGCGCATGATTCAGAGTAAGTCTTCCAGTCGTGAGCTGCGTATAGAGCAGCCATACCATCGCTAATGTTGCTTGTTCACACAATGAGGGTATAGGTATACGATTGAAGTCGGCTCGCCGACTCGAGCACTGACGGCACTGGCGTAAGGCTTCACCCTGATCTTACAGGTGTTGAAACTACGCGCACTACTCATTACTGACACCGCTGGCCCTTCACAAGAATTATAGTGCTTCAAAGCTTTTATGACCGGACAAGGTACCCGACCATAAAGCCCATTATAGTTAAAACTTTCGGTGCATAGGCGCCATTTGCGACATGAACATTGCTTCAAATTACAACAAGCATGGTCGCACCATCAAGAAGTTGCATGCTAAGAAATTTTGTATACTCCCAGACGACAGCGCGAATCGGTACTGTTAAGAGAATACATATTTTGCATTACCATGCTGGCCAAACGGCTAGAATTATGTAATTGCTCTTAAATGCTATCGAATCCTATTGTGGGGAACAACTGAAGAAGTCGCCAGGCCCCGTCTAGACGACCGACACGCGGCAGCCGATTGCTTTCGCGACCGGGGAAACACTGTCCCGCTTGTGTTCTCGGGCGCGTTCTCGAAGCTGGCATTCACTTCACTACATTACTACACAAGCTACACTATTTCCTTCTAACTCAGCGTGACGAAACACGAGTTGCACCCCCCCCCCCTATACAGGATCCGGCCGATGCCTATGTATCACACGTCTACGTTTGTGGTCGTATAAACAGTATACTCGTTTCAATAATATAAGAGGTTAGGAACTAGAATTGCGGAGAGAGAGTGAATTGCACCTTGGATCAGATCACTGCATCTGCTCACAGGGTGACGAAGGGGAGACACCTACCGAAAGGCTCAGAAGAGCAGTGAAATAAGTCGAATGCCTTGTGCTATCTCACAGCAAAGCCCTGGGTCATCGAGTCGTGTGCTAAACGCCCGGCAACTATCGCCGGGAGAGCGCAGGCAATGCGCACCAACTTTTTTCATCTAGGGACCTTAGCACCAACCATCACTGCCGCAGATTTCACTGCAGCCCCGAGTTCTCAACAAACATGGCCTGTTTTGAGATATGGTGCATCTTAATGTAACTAGACCTATAGAGACTTTAGTGCATATAATGTTACCCCTAGACAAACGACGCAGGGCACTACATGGCAACCGCACTTTCTCTGTGCTCGAACGCATACTATCCTTGAAAGGCATTCTTGCAGTCGTCTCTTTCTTGTAGTCAGCCGCCTTGCTAAACGGCGAATTGGTGGCGTCCTCACTTTTGTCAATGCGACAAGTTCAGGGTGTGATGACTACGGGAGTGCGACTGCTATGCGAATGAATACAGCATTTCCTACAGTTCGGTGCCTGCATACTGTTTGTGAGAAATGCGCCTGCACCTCTGATATCTCTCTGGTTAGCTTGTACAAGCTGCTGCACTGCATCAACATACTTATGCACCACTGCAGAATCAGTGGTTCTCAGTGGTCTCGAGCATATGTCATCGCTGTCTTTCGCTATGCGCAGGTGTCATCTCTCCAGGCGTGACGGTGCCAGTGCAAGTCCCTGGCCAAACAACCGACCTCTCGGTGCCGTCCAACTATTGGCCCCGACTGCAGTGACAATGGCCCATGGTTGGGTACCCGACCGACCTGAGCCTCGCCAAGGGTAGCAGGTCGTACGCCAACCTCCAGGACCACTTCCCGGCCACTTGCGCCAACAAGGACTAGTCGCGCTACATGCGCCCACAAAGGAAGCTTGGCTTCACTCTTCAAGTCCGCACGAATCCTTGCCAGCAGCGCACAGCAGAACTCTGATGAACGGTGCAGGAAACGTGCGTGCTCCTTCTTGCAGAAGTGTGAAGCAGTGGCCATGTTTTGTGATGGTGTGTGCAGCTGCTCTAATAGCAGACCCGTATTCTTTTTCCCTTTAATGACCACCCATGACCATCTTTGTGTAAACAACAAAGGGTTCAATATGGCATGCAGCACATAAAATGTTGTGCTAATGTCAAGCCGTTTAGCGCAGGACTTTGGAATCTTTGGAATCTCTTGGCACTGATGCTTAATATCGCAAAGTTTCTCAAGGCTACAAATTAGATGGGCATTTTAACGCCACCTTGACAGGCCTCTTAAATTCTATTAATGAAACTGCACCATGGTTGAACGGCTCACTACAGACTGTAAGCCAGCCTTCCCCTGATCTATATATCGGCACGAAAGGCAAAGTTTGCAGCAATGCACCCATGCGAAAATCATGAGCGATTTGGCACTACTATAACGATTTGTGATGATGAAGCAAGCAGATGGACAAAGTAGAACATGTGCTGGCAATGGTTGTGTTGCTATGTGTTGTGAATATGTATTGGCAATAGAACATGTGCTGGCAAGAAGTAACTGCACAAACAATCACAAAGCAACTCTGCTGCCTTCACTTGCTGTAGTCTTCAACGCGTGTCATGAACACTCCAAACACGTGTGCCTCGACCACCGCTCGTCGAAGCCGCATTGGACGACAAGACCAGTCGATCCTGGCAAGAGCTACCAAGATTGCTACTGAATATAAGGACCTTTGTTCTAGTCGACCACACTTGTGAGCGCCCCAGTTCTTTCTTTTTGTTGTTCTTAATGTGTCACTTGACTACTCCATCTACTATCTTCTAAATGGGCTGTCTCGGTTGTTGTCAATGTCGTCAATGCAATCAAGCTGCAGCTCGTCTTCCTAGGCCAAGAATTCTCGACGACAAGTTTCTCGGGCAGTGCAAACACAACCCATCCGTCACTAACCTGCGCACACAACACTGTGTTGACACTGCAAATGCAGTCCAACTGACAATATGTGTGCTCTCATAGGCGAGTGAATGAAATACTCGCTACACAGCCCTCATGATCCAATGTGACACCAGAGTGAAGTTTTTGTTTGTTTGTTTGCATTTAAAGCAGTACAGTTGTGGCGTCTTTTCTGTTTCCTTTGCCTCGCACATCTGAAATGCCAGAGTGTTTGCAGTGTTGCCAGAGATGGCTCGAGACTGTAGCATTAATTTGCACACCATATCGGCAGCTTGTTCTTTTGTGTCATCTGTGTGGACCTTGGAAAGTGATGTTTTGAAAAGCTTGTACAGAACTGTACTGAAGAACAGAATAGGCGCACACTTTAGAAATGTCAAGAGGCATACTTTTATTATAGCTCATCCCAAAGAGTTTTCGGTAAAGACAAGAAAAAAATAAAAGAACACAGTGAGCGTCACTCTGCGATGCCTTCTGCTGTCACACTTTCTTCGTCAGCATTGGAAATCAGGAGGCATAAGGCCACAGATTGAGCTATTGCAGCTTGTCTCAGGTGCACACCAGACCCAAGGTACAGCTTCTCGTGCCATGCCTGCTTAATCAAAGAGTTGTGTTGTGACCCTACCTCCCAACTCCATATTAAAAACACGAGTGGAAGAAAGCTCCAAGGAAGAAAGGAATTCGGGCTGAATTGGCAAGAAAAACAATGAGTGTCATGTATTCAGCATCAACAAACAAAGTATATTATTACTGTCACCATACACAATGTGATCAAAATTATATTCCGATTCTTATCTGGCACATAAATTTTCATGCGACATGATAAGCCAGCTCCTTGTCAGGGAGAGATAAGAAAAGGTGGCACCTCATAGCTGCAAGGTGTAAAGGTTATTGCGCTCTGTATGAGCGACACCATACGCTGATCACACTGCAAAGTTATGCAGTGGCGCTGATCGTTGCATACTTTTTAGTTATTGGGGAAAGAATTAGGCTTTTCATGCAAGTGTGCATTGCCCCCCTTGCTTGCTTTCACCCACAAAGTTACTTTTGAAGTTATTTTTTGTTGAAAGCAAATGGAGCCGAAGCGCACTTGCAGGAACAGCCAAACCATTTCCTAATAACTAGAAATCAAGTCACTATTAGCACTACAATACTACCTGGCAGTGCCGGTGGCCATGCGCTCACATGGTGTTACATGCAACAGTACTCTTTCATCAGTCTCAAACATTTGACTACTCATTCCATTACAAACATAACACTACTTGCAACCGTTCTGACTAGTGCAGTGTAAAATATAGCCATATAGTACACAACTAACGGCGACGTGTTCTGTCACTCAGGTATATGCTGTGGTGTCTTCACGTCCCGCTGGAAAGGCTAAATGTCGTATCCGCAAATGAAAAAGATGATTTGATCTCTTTTCGAGTCCTTGAGGTGGGCAACTGGTCTACGGCCCATGCATCAACACTGTTGTTACACAATTATAATAGGAAGAATTTGCCACATAAGCGCACTTTCACTTCCATGCCTTCAAGATGTTGGTTAGCGCTAGAATAAAATGTTAACCAGTGACGAGCATTGCTCAAGTGTGGGGTTCACATCACTCAAAGAGCAGCGCTGCCCTCCACATCCCATGATTTGTGGTTGGGTGTTGGGTGCAGCAATGCTTTAGAGATACGGGCTTACGATGAACGATGCAATTGCACCTATGAGGAACAGCCTCGCCTCAATCAATATGAGTTGTAGCTAGGCGGGGGTTCGTAGGGGAGCGCATTGCCAACTATGCTCCCTCCTTACAATGAACACACCCTCCTTACAATGAATATTCCAAGATCCCCTATAGATCCACAAGCTACTAATGCATAAGTCTCATATTTTAACTGTCCTTCATGGAGCAAGAAAAGCTGTACTAGTATGTATGAAGCAACTACGACACAAAACGAAAAGTTACCATTTGTCCAGCACATGCCAGTACTGTCGGCACTCTAATGCATTATATCAACGAGATAAAACAGCATTGAAAATCAAGAGGCCTAATGCCACAGACTGAACCATTCTCCAACATTTAAAACTTCTATTGAAAGAAAAAACTTTTGCGCTCGCAGACACAGGCGCTAAGCCACCGTTTATAAACTAGTGAGGGCATACATTGTTTCTGGCTGTACAGTATAGTTTAAAAATACATATATATAGTTTAAAATTACATATAAAGAAAAAAATACCAAATCCTAACCATTTCACTACAAGCTTTACTATTTTTTGTACTGAACACTTGCAGATAGCCAATTTTGTGCTCCTAATAGAATTTTTATGGGCATCTTAAAATAAAACTACAACAATAAAACGACCACAGTTAGCCGCACTTTGTATGAGTGTAAGTAGCAAAGTATTATGAGTATGAAAACTCGATGGGGCGCTACATGGTGCTTGCAACAGGCCGATACTGTCTTGCAAAGGCGTGTCGCAAACAATTTCACACGAGCATTAAATTTTAGCTCCTTGGTGCTAACTATACCATAGAGTCACTCATGGCGTAAACACGACTTATCCCAATTGCTGGTAAAAACGAGGAGCAAGGCAGTCGGATATCGGCTATTATTTTTCTACTGCATTTCAATATTCACTTAGAGAGTTGCCTCTGTGGTTCATGGTAAGTCGGATACATTAACAATGCAAGGGTTTTTGGTTTTATGGCCTAAATATCTCATCACACAATTACCACCTCATGATAAGCAGCAGTTCGTCTTTTGATTGCTGAAGCTACAATGCGGAAGCGCTGCTCAGAGCATCCTCTTAAAGGACTACTGACAGAAAATTTGGAAACTGAGATGCTTGTGTTGTTTGAATGAACCAGCATGCGGGGCCACTTCTGACCAATTATTAGTAGCAACAATTGCTCATGAGATATCTTAAAATAGTTTTACAGTAAGGGTGCATGCTGATTGAAGTATTTAAATCCAATCAACATTTTCTGTTGTTGGACGTAGACAAGGGCCCTCGCGTAACGTTGCGGAGGTCAAGCAAGTATTGTTGGTTTCAGAGGACATTTGCAGGACACGCATAGTACCCAGACTGGCACCCAGCGAAGGCTATTGCTCGTCACCACTCTTGCTTTCTTGTTAGATGCTCTCAAGGTGGTTTTGGCAGCACATGCCAGAAATGCTTTTCTTATTTATGAGGGGGACACACTCGAAGCACACACATAATTTCATTTTTCACCACTCGCGAGTCCCCCTGTTTGAGAATGGCACATTCAGTGTCCATTAAGTATCAACACACATAGCCTCAGGAGCTGGCCCACTGTGGGGCACTTGTTTCTTACTGTATTTAGGCAGGCCTTTGGAACTTATGCAAAATCGCTCGAAAATAACGATGCTAGCATTAATAATTACGTGAAATATAATGCATCACCGTATTTAAAATTCAATTTCGGCATTACTATATTCAAAGCTACAAGTTACTGCAAAAAAGTACCAAGGAAAACTTGCTGCCAGGTGTCTATTAACCATCGCACCAGAAGTATTCCATGTATTTTAAATGCAAATTTTTGAAGATCAGCAAACATGAATGTCACTATAAAAACATGAAAATATACACTTTTTAATTAAACTGACCCACCATTCAGTTGGAAAGGAACTGTGTTGCTGGCCTGGGAGCCACCTGGAATCAAGGATCGTCGCACAACATTCAGCACCACATAGGACAGTGATGTGGCCAAGTACTGGTCTGCTGCTAAGATGGTGCAGTAGCCACCAACCAAGGAGCAAGACACCACACTCAACTGCAAAATAAAAAATAAAAGGGAGATAAAAAAGCAACTTGAGATATTGTGGATAACCTCCAGGGCATAAAGCAAAGCCCAGTGACACACCTACTACTTATAATACAGCAGTGTTGTCTATAAGAAAGCATTTATGGACCCTTGCTTCATTGTAACCAGTTCTTTTCCAAGTGTAAGCATTTCATAATTTCTATGCCCATGATGCAGTTTGGAAAAAGAAAGTGTAGAAGCATTATGCTACATTTTATTGGAGATGATATAACTGTAGCGAAATGGCTGTTGGTAGGAATGGAACATGCATCGGAGAAAATGCCCTGCTGACCTGGTACAATGCACTAAACCCGTGAAAGGTTGCAATGCTATGATAAAGCCAAGTTACTCGCCTTGGCAGTGCCAATACTTTTAAAAACGCCAAAACTATGTACAAGAATGGTAAACATTTAGGATGTGTAATAGTGTGATATAAGTTGCTGGTTATCTGCTGCAAACTCGTAAACAAGTACTTGCTACACTAAGCAGTGAGACTAGGTTTAAGGGAAAGCTTTAGTGCGATTCTAAGCATCTATTTGACTTTTCATTTATCATTTAGTCCCAAGCCCTTTGTACGGAATAAGTACTCACCAGCCTGGCCTGTGGAAGAACAGCAGAGCCGGCAGCAGCATAAAGCAGCTGATGAAGACCCAGTAACTCAGGCTGCTCTGAAGAAATGCTACTTCACCTACACGAAAGCAAGTGGCACCCATTAGCAGTCGTAAAAGTGGTTGGGATAGGCGTAATCATATTATGAATTGAGGAGCACATGTCTAGAGGGGTGAAGAGAAGAGTAGCAGCAACCAGAAAACCAATGGTGAGTCCAGACAATGATATAGACAGTACAGGCATGGCAAACAGCCACCAGACGGCCGTCCATATCAATCCACCAAGCGCCCCTCCAAGCAAGGAAGCAAGGAGTCCATCTGCGCATTTACAAATGAGCGGACACACACACACAATATTGGTGTTTTACTGTTAAAGTTAAGTCGGCAGTACATAGCAGTGTAAATATCATTAATGAACTTTAAACCTTGACTTAACTCAGAGGTTCAGGTAAGGCTCACTGTACTTATTCAAATGCAACGAGAGTTTTTTTCCAGATTTTTTCCTCCCAGAAGTCGACTCTCGTGTTAAAACTGAATATCGAAGTTCAAGTTATCTAAAGAGTGGAATAATACACACAATCATTTTATTTTTGCTTAATTCTTTCCTCCCTGAATGCAATGAAAAGTGATCCCTCACGTTACAATAATGGTAATGTTATATTCGAGTAAATACAGTATATGGTCCCAGCGCACAGAAGAAAAAAAGCATTTAACTGTTCAAAGATAAGAACTCGGCAAAAATGCGAGGGCTGTGTTTATTAAACAGAACTTTATCATAAGCAAAAAAGCTGCAGTAGCTCAAAAACATCACTCTACTTTAACCCTATTTACTTGAGTACACTTCGAAACAAAGACCTTTCACAGAGAGCTACTCTTGATCTATGCCTGCACTAAGCAAAAGCTCTTTGTACCTGCCAAATCCAACCTCTTCACTCTATATGGCCAACTTCTTGTCAACATGGACTGCTTTTCCTAGCTATCCTTTGCACTCATGTTATGACTGAAAAGTGGTGACAAAATGTCTTAGATCACCTTCTTGCC